ATATTTATTACACATTTTGTTTTTCACTTGACAATGAAAGGGAGATTATTTAGATGGTGGCTAAATAGTGGGCATCTTGATTTTGATGGTCTTGTCTGTTTCTTTAGCTTTTGCATTGCGCACTGCTATAGGAAAACGAAATTCGATGAACAAACTAAGATGCTTTAATAACAATTTAAATGATGACAATTAGGACGCAGCTAACTAATAACGTGAAGAACGTTTCGTCTTTGCAATTGTTTGTCGACCTAAATCATGGTGAGCGATAGTTGCTCAAAAATATCGTAGAGAGACATTCGATAAACACAAATCTAGCTAAGCATTGTAGTTATGTGGCTGAATAGAGCTGATGAAACGACGACATCAACGGACAAACAAACAAACGGATTTTTTCAAAAGATCTCTTCTTTATTTGTGTTAGCCAGTTTTTGCCAACTTGTATACTGACACTTAATGTCTAGCATTTTCTTGATGATATCAACATCTCAAGTATAAACACCTTTTAATTAATAAACTGTAGTGAAAAAAAAGTGTTTTTTTACATTAACTTGCGGGAATTGGTAATTTATATAGGAAAACTTGCTTATTCTGCAGAATCTCATCAATGTAAAGAGAGAAGTGTCTGATAAGACTAACCCCTTTATCGTTACGGAAAAAGCTTGCGATTTAAACTATATTATTATTGCGTAAATCATGTTTATTACATGTGTCCTACCAGTCGTCCCAATGTAGGTGTACGGGCGCTTTTTATTTACTATGATTACGGATCGTACTCTTGAACTTCTTTAAGAGTACGTATTCAAATCAATGATTTGATTAACTGTAGTTGTTCAATTACAAATACGTATCATATCCTCAGGTCTTCGGTACGTATCCAAATGCGTAAATCATGATCACCAACAGTTCAGCTCTATCTTCGCTGCAAATGCTTCATACACACGTACTTGGAGGAGCGAATAATTAGGGATACAATTCCCACTGACATTCCGCGCGGAAAATATTCATTTTTCTTAATGAAAAGTTTTGTCAGCATTTGAGCGCCTGCTTTCGTAAGATGGGCAATGGCAGGCCAACGAGCCGGAGGCGCACTCATCACCATAGACTCAACGATGGCTCCTAATAGGGAATTATCATTGATCGGTTGGACAGGCGGACAAAATTATTGCATCGCTGTGCCACCTTGACGAGAAGAAACGGGCCGTACGGACGATTACCTGGTAGCTCTCCTTTCTTCCCGTTTCTAGTTATCCCTTAGGCAGTATGAGTATTTGGGACAAAGTGGAGTGGCCTCGTTCAGAGGCCCTAGGGGAAGGTCGGAAGGGTTTCTTGTTAAAATTCAATTGAGCTTCACCGATGCGTAAGATTCGCGGGCAAACCTCCCAATGGGGCTCTGGGCGGCGCCAGCCATTCTTACGTCTAGACCGGCGCCCGTTCCGTTTCGGCCCAATATCCTGAACAAACTCAGCCATGCATCCCAGAAGAATTATGTATATGGTTTATAGCGCGTTGTTTTCCACATAGGTACACCAGCCTGCAATAATGATAGTGGCGATACCCTGTCGACAACAGGATTCTGATTTGCCGTTCCCACCAAGCAAATAATAAGTATGCAAACATGACTGCGCCTATTTGCCGGAGAGATCTATGTCAATGTTTACCCGAACATACGGCCACACAGTTGCGGACATTCTCCTTTTCGTCAATGCAATTAGAAAGAGAGAAAGTAAGCTACGTGAACTGCTTACGCCGTACGGCCGATATACTATAGCGCAGGCTGTATGTACATTTGATACGGTGTTCTTACAATACGCATTTTTATATGTCCGTAACAAAATCACTAGCCCTACTATGTGGTAGCTGTTATTAGTAAGTATTACCTACTGTTTGTGTTCTATCTTTGCTGCAATAAGGGAGATCCGGCGATTTGTCGAAAGGCCATGCGTGTTCAACTAGAAAACACACCGTCTATACTGCCTGCGTTTCACCTGTAGATATTTGAACCGATCATGTGTACGTTGCATTTGGCGAAAGCCAGTTTTTCCGTTCCTTTTGTGTCTTCTTTGGTAAAAAGGTAGAACCACTCGTGGTATTATTTAGCGCCCAATCAATGTCATAGCCAATAGACGATTGTACTAGAATCATCGATAGAGTGTCTCCGTCATTTCACTACTAACAATTCGTTGTAAGTGATTTTAATTGAAACCTTTGCGTATAATATCGTTAGCTGCCTACCTAAAAATACATGCTTTTTTTTTTACAAATTTCCAGTTCGTTCTGGGTTTGACCGGATCTAGCCGTGGTGTTTCTAAGGCATTTGGATATAATTTCTATGAAGCGGATATTAATAACGATGAAAGATCCTATAAAAAACCTCGTTTGCTTTGTAGTTACCGCTGTCCGATTTTGGGTTATTGTCATCACAGTTATATTTATTGTAATTGGGCTCTTGTGTATTTGCTCAAAGTTTATAGGCTACTACATCTAATAGCTTTTTAATAAGTGTTTCAGGCAGTGTTTAAGCGCTAAAAAATTATTATACACAGTTATGGCGTAGACAGATAATGTTAGTCGATTTGTTATCGAGAAAGGCCCAGTTTTTGACCCCACGAAACGAATTAAATTGGCCTAGTAAATTTATTCAGAATTCTTGCTAATGCATCATTTATTGACGCATCCTAGATACTACTGTTTCTATACTTTTGGTACTTAGACTATCCCCGAAGAAATGCGACAATCCTATACAAATCAGATCAATGTCACCCACGTCCGGCCTAAAAATACGGTTTACAGATTAGGTGAACATTACATAAAGAAAGGCTAGGTATAAATCTGTCAAACAATGAGTTATACATTTGTCTCGTTCGACTGCGTCGCTGGTGGGATGACCAGGTGCTCGACCTACAACGATGAGGTCGGTGATAATTATTTAAATAACTAAGTTGTGTAATTGCAGCCCACTATTTAATCATTAGCCTTCTAGCTTGTATTAGTTCTTCGAAGTTGGTTTCTACCGAATCACTGGCATTATTGCAAATGAAAATAACACTGGCAGTGAAGGGGGTTCTCGATGAAAGGAGTGAACTTGAAACTAGTTGCAAACATATGATTTATTCCGTGTAAGCCGCATGGCTTCTGTTCGGTAGGACTGCTACCGATCGAGGACCGATGAACGTCTCCTGCAATATATAAAAACGATACCGACCTTTGTGAATACGATTTAAGCACGCGGAACCTAATAAAGGTCGCGAATTTTCGGACGTGTGTTCATATAAAACACATTGATTTCGCCTAAACTGTACCTAGTTAAACGCAAAATGTACATATCTGATTTTTTTCACGTCTGTTTCACTAGACGAAGATATGAATCTGAAGTCATCGTAAACATTCGCTCTAAAAACGTTATTGCAATTTCAAATAATAGCCGAATTCGCTGAAGGTGAAAAGGGAGCTGAGGGTCAGTTCTACCTCTGAAAGGAACCCCACTAGTGTAAATCAGTTTTTCAAAGCGAGGGCCGTAAAGCGCACGGCTGGCTGATATACAGTCCTTTATTGAATTTACGGTAGTAGTTCTTTTAGTTGCTTATAGCCGCGTGGAGTCGACAGCGAGTCAGATCGATGCGCCCACAGACGCAGGACATACGTTACGAAAGTAAAGATGAAATTTATTAGCTTCATTTAAAATAAATATGTCAGATATTTGTTTAGAGCCAACACAGTCATTCGCAATTCAGAAGCATCTGTTAGTCAAGTTGAAATTTAGTAAAAAAAAAAAAAAGATTCGAGAGTGCAACGTAGCATTCGAAAGAGGAGGTATTGTTTACTCTAGGGCTTGCGCCGTACAACTGTGCAGGTCGCTTTTTACATCGCTAGAAGCTTCGAGAATTTCTGACCTCCCTAATGACGTTCGATCTTGTATTCGTAATGATTTGTCGATCTGTGCTCTGCTGCTTCGTAAACGGGGTAATAGAGAGGTGCAGCTATCGTCTTTTAATCTCTTCCGCGAGATGTCAATCCACGACACCATTGGCGTCATCCCTGGTACACACCAGCCAGGTAAGTGCTGCGACCCATAGTCAATTAGATGATATTATATTATCGCTGAGATATTTACTGTCTACATAAAATAAACGTCCTATTCAAGTGGCGCGATATAAGGCTCCATTGAGGAACCGTTATGCATAACGTTGAGTCCTTTCGGAGCATTCGCTGCGACGAGTGGTAACTATTTTTAAAAATGATGCACTCCCCTTCACAAGAAAGTATATAACAAATAACATCGTCTGACAGATAAAACGCCTCATATCTGACGTCTTAACTTAGGACGCACATAGGCATGTATGAAGTTAGCCCAACAAGAGGCCTTTTGGAGGCGTCACTATGTGCTTAACGTCAATTTTTACAGGAGCGATATTAAGATAACGTGCTGCCTAGCTGATAACACGGCTGGGATGAAGCCAAGTGGTTGCCCCGGGCCGTGCTTTATTTTTGAAGCTATTCTAACTCACCTATGCACCAAAGCAGACATATTGTCTCTCCTTCGATTAGGCCAGTACATATTGGCATGCATGTAAATTCTATTGTTGGTAAATCTTCCCGTGCCAACGCGTCTTAGTAACTGTTATCATTTTTCTATTTTTTTTTTTTTTTATCTAATCGCTAGAAATCCGCATATCGACGTATTTTCTGGAACTATAGCTAGAATTCGCGTGGATCGTATTGGGCCGTAAAATGACAACTAGCAGGATCCGATTGATAAATAGGTTCTTCACGTGGAAGTGCTAATTTCGTATGTTAATGGTTGAAAAAACAAGCCTATCTCTTGCTAAAACTAGCCGCAGTTATAATCAATTCAACTTACTAGTATGACACTGGCTGAAGGCTTAGGCAGTTTCCGAAATAGCTCGAGCATTCTGCAAGGGCATGTGCTTGCTGTCTAGCCATTGGATTTTTATGGTAAGATTAAATATTCAAACAAGGATATGCAGTAGTCGTACCTTTTCTGATGTCTTGTGGATCTTACAGGTCGATATGTTATCATTGGCTGCCATCACGACTCGTGGACGCGCGGCGCCGGGGACCCCGGCTCGGGAATGGCTGTGCTAATGGAGGTAGGCTAAAACTAACCTATAAGAAAACTTAGCTTTTGCTAAATTCATGCTATATTTTGAATCCAAATTCTACAAGTGAGCCGAATCTCTATCAGCGTAAACGTCAATCGTTTGATCATATTGTCGGTGGAGTGAGATCTTCAAATTATGCTGTTTCATGGAAATTTCCTTAGCTAACTTTCACTAAGCTTTTTATGAGTTGTTCTGAGCGATTTCTTACGCTTGCCACATGTCGTACTGGAATAATTTAGAAAGAGTGTATTTGCCTACTTAACACGTGGTGGTTAGGCTGAGAACTGAGCGTGGAGACGCTTCTTTCTGTGGTTGAAATGGCCAGCCAACGAAAACAATGCTTAACGTTAGCACTATACAGGTTTATATTAGTAGAATACTGCAGTATTAATAGCCGCCTTAGGCCGCTTATGGCCTATTGCTTGTTTTGTAGCGGCGAGTATACGTTGTGGTTTACTGAGTTATTTGTGAGTGTTTTTTAAATATCAATTAAACTGTAATTTTTTTTACAACGAGGTTGTTCGAGTTTTATCAGAACTGGTTACTCTGGAGGGATGGCGACCTCAACGAACGCTGTTGTTCGCTGCTTGGGACGCATCTGCATTTGGTCAAGTGGGAAGCACCGAATTCCTTCAAAAGCATCGCGCCGAGTTGGCGTCGCGTACCATCGCATATGTTGGCCTCGATCAAGCTGTAACCGGTGAGAAATTCGTAAGTTTATTTGTAATGGCACGCATCTAACTTAAGGTGCTGGTGTGGTTCATTGACTCTGTCCATGAACTACTACGAAATATGTGCCTGAGACGTATTGCTTTATAACAATAACGTTGGCTACTATTGTAAAATATGAGTAGGCAACGTTAACATGTAGTGTTAACATTTGATAAAATTATATCAAACATTTGTCAAATAGCGTAAGTTATGCGACGTATATATTCTTGCTTTCAAGCACGTACATGTCTGCAAAGCAGCAGCGTAGAGGACACAATGGCAAGTGAGGGAGCATGACAAAAACGTCAGCCTAAGGTCAAGTCGTTAATGGCTGGCAGGCACTGCCGTTCTGCTGGACGAAACCTGTTTTTGGCTCGTTCCGTCGTCGGCGCCCTGAGAGAATACGACACGGCTAAGAGCGCGACGGGACACCTTCACAAGGCCCCAAAACTATTCAGTTATATTTAGCTTGCTTTTTCATTTTTGATACCCGAATATCACTATCTGCTACCGTTGTTATAATTCACCACAAACTCAGTCGCATCGGTGATGTTCAGAAGTTGTAGTGTAGTTTCTACCGGTGATGCCGTAGCTTATTCCACCAGCGAGCATCATTTATGCCCGTTCCCGCTACTGCTCTGACATAAATAACCTATCAGCTGCATCGAAGGATCCATCACAAAGCTAACGTATAATTCGATCAGCAGGGTAATGTTGTGTATAAGAAAGCAAACGAACGCCTGACTAATTGAAGGATAGTTACTGTTGATTAGAAAGGAGTAGCTTTTTTATGTAGCAGAGCACATTTCTGTACAATGCCGTCTGCTCCGGGCCTGTTAATTTGATATTGTCTGTCATCGTTCTATGAGCGAAGGAAATGAGGGCCGGTCATATAGCCGCCTAGATTTGTATGCCAGTCAATTTACTTAGCTGAAATGCAGCGAAGCCGAGAAGTGGAGAGGCTCAGCGAAATTTTCGCCCTCGCCCACGACTTTTCATTTCGGTGGTACGCTGTCACGGAGCCTTGATATCACTTACCTATATACCTAAAGGCACTACTCAGCTATGCGCCCTGAACCTTTTCTTTTTCCAACGTTGTTTTTATCTACCTGAAAAGGGATTTGGCGCCTTTTGGCCGTTCTTAATCATACAGATTTTCCCTGTCTACTTGCTTAGGCAGAAGACCAGGCAGTTTATCTATTGAGGTCAACGTAGCGTCGGTGTATAAAGCCGTTTGGTCTCTGTAAGGAAAAAAAAGAGCGTGCCGTACTGTGAGCAGGCCGCCATCGAGCTCGAATAATAAGGTGCTAAGGACATTTTCATTTAACAATGGTCTCGTAGAGCTTGACAAAAACGATTTGAATCATACTTACCTAATGTTTTTTTGTTCAGTTAAAATGTTACGAAACATTATAATAAGCATGGCATAATCTAGACTTCTGGCAGCTAGATTAATTTTCATAGTAAGCGTATGTACTTTTTTTCTACATTGTTAGGCTTGCACCCGATGCTCGAACACCTCTGTGATGAAATTACGTGTCACAGCATAGAAGGGCCTAATTCTATAAAAGTTTCGTAATTTTTTCATTTACGTTACGTTACTTACGACTGGCAACGAACAATGATAATTTGAACCATTTAATAAGCATTATAGAATCGACCCTTCGGGAGCGAATGTATATCAATAGAGCTGGCGTGTAACGTTGCCGCATTGGCTGACTATCTTTAACGGGTTGTCAGCATTAGCAGTTAAATTACCAAGATGGCTACGCTTTCTTCAAGCACCGAGCAAGCTGCTAGTGGTACAAATATCTGATCGAATTAACCGTGCTGAATGTCGGATTTTTCTTTCATATTTTGCTTGTGAATAGGTAACCGAACGCTTCAAGTGATGGCCAGCCCTTTGCTCCGACAAGCGCTAAGTGAGGCAGCGGAACAGATTCCGGGCCTCGGCCTAGATGAAGAATTGACCTTCAGTATAGCTGCTAAAGGCAAACCCTACGGCGGCAGCAACAGCAGCAAGAAAGCTAGTCGCCATAGCGAAAGCGAGGGATCTACCAGACACACTTCCAGTAGTAGTAAGCCACCGTCGCGCTCTCGGAACGGCGAGAGCTTGCTGGCTCAATGGGCCCGTGCAAGACCCTCTGCTCATCTGGCATCACGGCGTGGCCTCGTGCCAGAAATTTTGCCACCAGCGGGGGGCGCTGACTTCACGGTGTTTACACAGCTTCTCGGCGTGTCAGTAGCGCGCGCGCGTTTCGTATCTCGTGACGGAGATGCCGACTACCCGGCAGCACGAACGGCGTACGACGATTGGCACGTGGTTGTCAATGTGACCGATCCAGGGCAGCGCGCCATGGCTGCATTAGCCCAGCTAATAGCCACTGTCGCACTTGAGCTTGCTGATAGTCCACTGCTACCTATGAAGGTAAACATGGTAAAAGAAAAAAGAAGCCGACGGCGATGACGTACTGTGTACGTCATGTAACGCTGTTATGTGCGATTAGATATAGCTTCGAAAATACGTTAATGGGTCTATAGGGCGGCTTTCGGGTCACATTCCCTTCTGGCTGTTACTGTGTTAAGACACGATTTGCACCTTCGTGGTACCATAATTATTGTTATTTACATATCTTCATATTCGGAGTTCGCAATGTTCTTGAAAACAACATGGTAAAATTGTTTAGAACCGCTACTCAAGCTAGGGTCTCATGTGCGCAGAGTCATCACGTTTAGGTGTGAAGTAAGCGAACACATAACGAAGCGTTTGATCTTCCAACAGAAAATGCTAGGCATTATTTTGCCTGCTGCACATAGAAAATGAGATAGAAATAACTATGATAAATTAACGTCAATAAAATAATTTTACGTGTGCTACTAGAGGGTACGTAGTTTTTTCTGGACAGGCATTTTTTTGTCAAATAGATTATGACATTATATTTGAATGTAGATCACACGCCGTAAAGATCTGCCATTTCGAATGCACAGGTATAGCCCGTTTTTCCTTAGGAGAAACGGCCCGCCTGGGCATATCAGCCGTGTGCTTAAGCTCACGTTTAAGTTGTTCAAAACCAAAGGGCAAATCCAGAATTTTCCAAATAAGGTTTCTCGCCTCGTTGGCTTTTAAGCATTTTTCACTTTCCCCGGTTCAATAAACAATGCAAACAGCAGAACTACATTTTTGTAACTTACTGCAACATATAAGTAAATCGTTCATTATCTCATTAGGCTACGGATTACGCCGATCAGATATCCGTCGACTTTGGCCCATTTCAAAGACAGCATGGAGACTTTTTTCGAGCTAACCATATTCGAACGGACCCCCTTAACAAGGCTGTCAGGGAATTCGCTAAAGCCGCCAATGAGTTTCAAGACTACTTCGACAGCTCCGCCGCTTCGCATGATCATAGTAAGTAAAAAAAACGTTGAAGTAATAGCCCATGTGGAAGGATTTAGCTATTTCAAAACAGATTTTTGGTTTTAACAAATCAGCAAAAGCCACGAACGGTCTTCATGTAGTTTACGTTTGCTAGCTATTAACTGAGGCGAACGCTGTGTTGTTACTTTTTCCTTTGCTGATAATCACCGTTGAGGTATACCGCTAGAAAGTTTCCCCTTGTGATCAAATGATAAAATCTGTATCTTGGACTCTAAAAACGGGCATATGCGTCGGTAATACATGGCGGCGCGTAACGTTTTCGATACCTACTTTATTTCACAGTTAGTTTAATGTTACGTAGTAGAATATATGTTATCTGTGTATCATAAGAACCTTACAGGCTTATCTGAGGGTTACTTATTTGTAAACTAGCTCAAGCCGCTTATCAGCGAGTTCTAGAGGTATGATATAATACATTTTCTTAGATTTAGCCAGACTATAGAATGCATGCCGCGTCCATTGGCGTTTAGGAGTAGCGAAAGCGAAGGTAGAAAGGACAGGTGGTAATTTACGAAGGGAGATGAGCGAGGCTAAGGAACGAAAGCCATAAGTGAAAGCCGATATCGCTGATGCAGAAACACTAGTACCGCCGCTACAATGGCCTTCAATATTTCGTTATCGCTGAAATTGCAGAGTATTACGGCTTTACTATAAGCAATAAAACATACGGATTTACACTGTTTCACTCATCTTTTACAGATATACTGACAGTCATTCAAGAATACAACGAGAGGATACTACAGCTTGAAAGGAGCTTTTTATTACCTCCGGCATATCCGAGACACCATAGTTCCAGGTACTGTTCATAACGCATAATTAAGTTCCGTCTACGAAAATTCGTCCTTAATGAGAGTTCAAGAGTAGTATACGATTGCTCGACATCTTACAGACACTTACTGTATGGTCCAGACGCGGATGACACGACCAGGGCGAACATCTTCCCGCACCTAAGCCGCGCCATTCGAACCGCCCGAGTTCGTCCTGTCGGGCCCGCGCTCAATTTCGTTCGGGAGAACGTGTCGTTGGTGGTTAATGCTCTGAGATCTGCCACGGGAATCCTGCAACGAAGCCTGCTCAGAGATGAACAAAGCATTCAAACAGACACAGAACCCAGAACTGATGGCTCTTTGTAAGAGATGCAAAAGGTTTCTTCGTTGGGTTTGCGATTTGTTTTGTTTCGTCAGTGCGACGTATGCGCGTTCAAGAAGAATGACTAGCGATGATCACACTCCATTCGTTAGGCACGTTTCTCTAACGCAACGATTGTTTACGTCGATCTGTATCAAGTATATAGTATTATTATAATGAAAAAGTTGTTTTTATCACCGGGTGTTCGCTGAACTTACAAATGGTCCTTACAGAGGTATTAATTAACAAAGAAAACTAACAACCGACGCTTTCCCTCCGAAGATTTTTGTCACGTCCAGCGTCGCCGATGCGGCCCTGCTTAGTGGATCTGTAAAGATGATCGTCGGCAGTCTTCTGGCGTAACGGTGAAAAATGCTGAGGTTTTGAACGAGCGGTTGAGCAGATGAGGGCTATTACGCAGGAAATAAACATGTTTGCAATGAGATCCGATTTGCGTTGCACACTATTTCTTAACCTCTTCAAATAAAAAAAAAAACAATTCCACAACGTATGTTAGTTACTATCGTGTGCACTTAGTGAATCGATGTTCATTGTATATTTATTATTAATTAGAACTGTTGCTACATCGATATGGTTAATGTTTGTAACTTTCATTCGTTGCCGATTCATTTAACTTGAATTACGTTCTAGCGTTGTCAGATTTCTGAACGTTTTTAATAATAGTAAATAATAACGTGAATAATAATAGTAAAATATAATGCAGTTTCTTTTAGCTTACCTATGTAACGTATCCGGATATGTAGTTACGTCTGTTTCTGTTTCTAGTCCTACAGATAGGTAACTTTGTTCTATATTCAATTGTAAATGCTAAATTGAATCATGTACCCAACAACGTCGATCGTTAGGACTGTTGATGGGTGTGCGAAACTGATGCTCTTACCCATAGCAAATAGACACATCCATAGGTCTGCCGTTGAGCTACGTATATACGCGCTCATAACATCAACCCGAATAAGCGAAATGCCGTATGGTGCACTATGTCCCTTTTTACGTGCCGCTTGGGAAAGTACGCAGCAAAAATGTCTCGTCCATTTCTGATGACATGCTTTTCTCACAGTGCGTTATCCGTCTGTTGATACACGTACAGTTGCGTTCGTTCGTGCAGTTATTGTTGACTCCACACCTGTGCGCTTCTCAACCGGAAAGCCGGAAGAACCGGAAGCCACAAAGGAGGAGGCGAATGGCTGCTTCATGGAGCAAGGGGGGGGGGGCCTGGAGCGCCCAACCCGGGCCGTCTGCCGGCACACGGATCCATCGAAGTATGAAGCTGGAAAGAACGTACAAGCAGTACCTCAGCTTCGAGAAAAGGCTGCTTCTCTACGCAGTGTCGACTCAGCACTGGAAATCGATGGCAGCTTTTTTGAGCCAATCCGATCGGCACACATAAATGGGAAGACAGCAAAAATAATATTAATTAACTAATCTATAATAACACAAGTTCAGCAGTGACGTCTGATACGATAAAGCGTAAATCATTTTCGGACAACGTCGTACACGTTATAATATAGCTTGTGAATAATGAGTCCTTACTATATGTAACAATAGAGCAGAAAACAATGTCCCTAGCATTTTAGCAATCGGTATAAACTGAAATTGATCATGATACTTGCTATATAATAAAACAAATACTTTCCAGGTATAGAACACAATTCGCTAACGAACGATTATATAAGGGAAGTTGAACATATCGTCTGCTGATGTAAAGATAGAAAATTTCGACAAGGTCCTAGTGAATGATTCCGAAAGCGTGGGACCGATTAGCAATAGTACCTATTTGCAGGTTGGAGATTTTTATTGTAATTAACGAATTTGTCGAAATAACGAACTAACGGCTTATGAAAGGTAACTTCTGGATGGCAATTTATCGTCCCTTGCCAGCTCACCCACATCTGCTCTTTGCAGAGTAAGGTAGTCAACGCAATAACGTCCCTCCCCTAAAATTGTTATCAAAACCCGCTAAAAACAAAAAAAGAATATATATATATATATATATATATGTATGTATGTAAGTCGAATAGAAAAAACCTTAACAGAGAACAGAAGTAATCGGAAAAGAGACAAACCTATTCAATTTGAAAAATACAACAAGGAATTGAAGTTGGTATACGTGGCCTGCAGGTAACTTGTGTTATGACAGCTTGGCCAAAATTCGTGTTCAGATAATAAAACGTCAGGGAGATCTGCGTAAAAAAATTGTTGTGTCGTAGCAATTCTAACAAGCGTCCTATAAAAATCTGGATATAGGTCCTAACAAATACAGGTATTTGGCGTGCCGAGTAAGGACGATATGCGTAGATTCAAATATCGATGTCTTCATGGACGTATAATACGCTGACAAAAACGACCGTCACTGCTACAGTGGATATTAACATAATAATGAGAAGAAGCCTGTCATCTTACAGAAGAGTGAACCAAGTCCCACAAAAATATTACAGTGAATCGTCTAAGAGATGGTAGGAAACTATTAATTATTCCTATTATTATTTCTATTCGAAATAATTATCTGCTAAATAATAAACCGCCGATGATGAGCGTTCAGTAAGCCGCAGAGTAAATATTTTACGTAAAAATATTTATTTTTAATGCAGTTTTGAACGGTAATTTTGTCTCTTGTTTTTGAGACGAAAATCATTGATACACAAAGAACGTATATATAAGATCATAATTAACGGGAACCCTAACAGCGAACGACTGTGACCGTTTCTTATGCGAAAAAAAGCCGTTCTACGATCTTCTTTCTTGAACTCTATCGGATAGAGTCACTGTTTATATATTGCATAAACATTTTGTAATTATATGTTCGACTTGCTGATACCATCTCAACATTTATGGACGAACACAAAGTTGCTGACAGAGTGTATGTACAACGATAAAACGAAGACCAACCGCTTTCGGGATGAACGTTTTTGCTACTAGGCAATGTAAAAGATCTAACAACTGGTTGCGAAATGGTTATCTTCATATGGAAATCTGATAAAATATTTGCCGGTCAGTAGTGAATAGTGTTTTAGGTATTCACAGATTTATTCAAACGAGCCGTACTGTTAAGCGTAACAACCCATTTTGATACAGGCCGTCTCCGATAATCCAGATATCCTCTCTATGGATTATCCTCAATACTAGGTACTAGAAGGGGAATTATATATGTAGCTATCTATACTTTCAATTCATATTTCTACATTCTTCGATTTTAAGCTGCAGTAAGTGAAATCGCTTGGTCGAATGCGTAACAGCAGATTAAAACGACAACGTCTGTCATTGTATAGGAAATACTATGTGACTTGGGCTGTCGCTCCGCATTTTTTTGCAAACACTTTTTCTCAAATAAGGTCTCATTTTAGCTTTCCGTGCCCGGCTCATGCAGCAAACGTTCGACCAGCGCCTAAATCCTGGATGGAATAAATTCGAAACGGAACATAAGGGTCTCAGTGCAATACACTCAACAGAACATCGAGGTGTTTGGATTATCATACATTTTCAGTTCCTGCATTAGGTACCGCCTCTATGCGGACTCACTCCCCGTTCACAGAAGAAGATTATAGATGGCGGACCGTATAGCGAACGATACACTGGACCTTGGAATAGTTATTTTTATAAAAAAAAAATTCGATGGAAGTCGATAATAGGATAATGATGGCTTGTTCATCTGAGCAAAACGTTGTCCCATCGGAAAGGTCCATACATCACGAAAAGACGACACCATGTACATGTATATATAAGTATAGCGCGTTAGGTCTCGTAGGTAGATTTATTGTGAGGCTTTCATTACCAATATAACATACATATATCGTCTCATAATTCAAGCTCTGCATGACACCGTAGCGTCGTTGTTGCTTCGTGCAGCCGGAGTGGTTACGCTATTTTGCTGATCGTAAGCCGTTATGATAAGACCGCTGCTGTATCTAGCGGTTGGCTGGACATACATAGAAGACGAGCAAACTTCGTTCTGTTTGCAAAGAAAGGTCCCTCCCTGACGGCACATAGACTTCTTTTTGTCATACAATAACCGAGACGTAATCTGCATGAAAAAAAAATCGAGCACTTCAAGTTGGGTAAACAGTTTCTGAAACCACTGGGAAAAGCTGATTTGCTTGATGAGGATAGACCCGACATGAAAAAAATGAGCCCATCTGAGTAAGCGAAGCAAGGTAGCCTTTTGTTACCTTAAGCACATCAGCTACGAAACCATATAAAACAGAAGTATCATGGTATTGCTCTATTATTATTATGAATGTTTAGATGTATTAAGTGCGGAATACTGCCTGTGGATTTGCAGGTTTGCTTGCCTTTCAGATGTGCCGTTATATCTGCCTTACCAGAACTTTTATAAACTTTTTGTAATTTGGCACTTCGTACAATTCTGTGACACCCAATCTGGTATCAACTCGCCTTGCATAGGTGAGTCCCTACATAGAACTACAACGTTTTTACCAAAATAAGTATACGACCCAGAAGTTTAATTCGAAGGCTTAAACAGTTCCTATGAGAGTTTTCACCTGAAACAACTAGCATCACTAATTCGTAGTTAAAGAAGCTATTTCCCACTGATTAAATGAAGCAAACAATCGGCTTACATTGGAAACGAAAAAATCTCTCGCAGCAATCAATGATCAGTTTCATACCCTGCAAAAGTAACACTGTCGACGTGCAGTTTTGCAAGATTTTCAACCCATTTTGAAATATGGCTGACATTTCCGAGCAATATAAATTGCTGTTGACCAAGTTAGATCCACAATTTACCAACTTCCTTAAGTTTGTGCCGAAGTTATTTGTTACTGTTCTGGTCTTAATTATTACCTGTCAGACAACGAAACGACTGCTACGGGTGGATGCATGCTTCAATTTTGGGCAACGGAAACTGGCGGATTGGCCCATTGTTGTCTAGAAAAATTTCTTTAGGTCAGTGTTCTATCTTCGAATAGATGAATTACTATGTTCGTTCGCATCTATAAGAGCGTGCGCCTAGGAGAACGATGGATCCGTAGTTAGTAATCTGCGACTAGGATGAACTCAATATGTGGCAATTTTATGGAATGATTCAATGAAACAGTAGTTTACCATCGTACTGCAGGTCACGTTGAACCTGTTAGCTGCTCCGTCTTACGTGTTCGCAAAGGATGTCCATAAAACATTTCGTCCGTGCATGGTTCAGGGGTTATTGCCTGGAGGAAGAGTCCGCGTAATCAATAAAATATACTGAGTTTACGAAAATTGGCTGATTCTCCTACAACCGTCTGGTGCGCTCTACCCATGCTGTTCATTTACATATATGAATCGAGAGATTGAAACCAATAGAATCTGCGAATGATTAGCTTTAAAATGGCCGTAGCTTCTGCGAGATAACTGCTACGAAAAAGCTGCGCCCACCAACGCCGGTGTACCTCAGATAAAAGAATTCGAGCGTCTTGTTTACTTGACAGACAACTGTTGAGTTCATCTGGCCACGTTTTCCTTCGTTCCTCCTAGTAGAATGAAAAAATTTCTATAGAAGCTGTTGCCTGTAGGAAGGAAACCTCCGAACTGCGTCACGAACACAGCGAACTTGTCTACCAGAAATCCCGCTACGGTAAAAACTTGCAGAGACGGATTGAGCGTTTTTGTTATTGTCTGCCTTTCAAGCAAATGTACATCTTTGCTTTACGATATTGTGTATTTAATTTCATAGTTCGCTTCATAGTCGCTTAAAACCAAAACTGAAAAGAACACTCAATTCCATTAATATACCTGCTCTTATTTTTAATGCAGGAGATAGGTCTACGCAACATATACTAGTTTTTAATGCAAATTATAATAGATATAGATATGTGAAGCCATCCTCAATGGGCCTACTCACTGTCTGTCCTTTTATTGCTTTGGAAAAACGTGCCAGTCAGGTCAACATCTATCGGCCTGATGGACCCAAGCTGTGAATAACGGATAATTTTTTAGATTGACTTATTATTTAGGAGCTAAATCAAAAGGCGAAAGACACGAAGAAAAATACGGTGTTAATTTTGCCTCAAGTCGAGTCATAGAGAATTTGCAGCTGTCGAACATCTACAAGCTATGCATGAAGTAATCGAGGTTTTTTCATCTCGTCCTTGAACACATTCATAGTCCTAATAATAAATATGACGCTTCTGCGTCAAAGAGCGATAATATGCAACGCATGCTTTGATCCTCCACAAAATTTCCACAAAATCCACAAATTTTCATTTTGAAGAGCACGTGAGCCGTCCATAGATAGCTAGTTGTATCACATAGTAATATCGCAGAGATAATAGATATCGTAAACATAATCAAACCTGATAATAATTAAATAATAGAAAAGATGGTTTTTAAACGCTTCACGAAATGCGGACCGTGCCGAGGATATTCTTAGCAGAAGAAAGTTTACACTACACTAAAATGTTTGTAACTTCTAATCGAAACATAGTAAACATACTTTTCATTGGTCAAGCGGTATTGTCAGATCAGTCCGACACAAGCAGATGCAATAATAGTTCATGTAAGCTCATCTTGTTTAGAAACGAATGAGCCTCTCTGTGAAGGTCGACTGTTTTTCGGGCCGTTCTGCGGAGGTAGGGGTCCGAGAAGAAAGCTCATGGTTCCCTCCCGGCTTCACCTAATGAATCTACCTGGAAACCCATCACCGTGACGATTTATTCTTGTGTCTCGGGCAAATCCAGCAGTGGCCGATGTTACAGACGTTTAAAATAAAGAGGTATGCTTTCATTCACTCTCCGTCCCTTCCAAAGAGTGTTTCTAGTAATGATAATAACAGGGCCTGAAAAGCGTTCTATTTTGCAGAAACTTTGCGAAAACGCATAAATTGGATTTTCTTTTCGGTCTGTTGTAGTTCTTATCTTCCTCACAGGCCCGTAGTATCAAGATTCAGAAGTGTGGCAGTTGTATGAACCGTTCTGTTCGAGTATAATGTCCTACAGTCTTATAATACATGGGTATGCAAACCTATCGCATCAATATTCGACGATACCAATAGATATTATAGTTTAATTTCCCATATATACGTGTGCAACCCCTGTGTGCCAAGAGAGCTGTGGCGTAATAAAGTGTTTTTCGTAGACGTTTTACAAAGTCTGTTTGTTAGAGCTTAGTATACATACACGTTAGTAAGTCCTGTATGGGGCGTATATCTACTGTTCGTGAGAACTGAATTCTACAGATTTTTCGACCACAGAGCTACTTCAGTTTCGATCCGAGTATTATGCACAATAGCTCAAACGTAAAACTATTAGGCAAACGGTGAATGTCACGCCTGAGCACACATCCGGGGTCTGCTGTGACTGTAAAATGGGTTTTCTTTTCAAAGGATTTGGAAGCAACCAATAAAAATTGAGAGAAAGTCAAAAGCGGACTCAAAGTATTATAAGATTTCAATGCAACATATAGGTGAGGTCCAGCGT